GTTATTTGCAAATGAGAGAAAATAAGCTCAATTCTAGTAGCGCTATTGGCGGCATGCTAAGAGGTACATATGCAGGTAGGCCGGACTTTATAAGAAACATGTTTTAGCCGAGAAGACCATTAAAATTTCTGGCGTTTTTTGACTCAAACAAAAAAATAAGAAAAACGAAAAGCTTTAGTCGAAATGTTCACGGAAGTGAGCAGATAAGTAAAAAAATATATAAAACAACTATAAATGACTTATTACAATACCAATAATTATTAAAATGTTTTAAGACCAATTAAATTTCCTCCTTCATCCCCCTAAAACGTTTCAAGGGGAAGATTGTCACTAAGTTTTAAGATAATGGAGCCAACCAAAATTCGAGCGCAAAGCAGCTGTTTTGTTTCTCGACTGTTTTTTTACCAACATGAAGCTCATTTTAGAGTTGGAGAGTCCACTCGCTCCTTCAGGGGATTTGTGCTGAATGAAGTGTACATAGGCAAACATCCCGAAAACGATTTCACTCTCGGCTGCATATTCCAACCGGACTTCGAGATTACTAGAGAAATTTTGAATGAGACGTTTTGCTGCACACAACTACCACAAGAGTGGGGTTCAAACGGTAAAAAAATGATACTACGATTGGTTTAAATAAGCAATTTTGAGCGGTCAAAGCTTGTTGGAATATTTCAAAATCCCGCAAACTATTTTTAAAATGCAGTTTTTTAAATAATTTTAATGAAATCAAATTGAAATGCACGCTTTGCTACTTTTCTGTAATAAAAATAAGGTCGGATTTCAGGGTAGTTGGTTTAAAATGAACGCCGTACTCTCGAGGCTTCGACACTCTCAACATCCAAAAAGTAGCCCATTTAATACTATTTCACGACTTCTTTTTGTTCGACCTTGAAATTATTCTTAGGGCGCCTTTGGCGCCAATATGTCCTAATTTTGAGGGACACTTTGCCCCTAAAAACGCGGTTGAAAAGTCCCAAAAAGGGCACAACAAATGGCGTTTTGGACTTTTTTAAAACAAAGAAAAATGTCAAAATAAGGTATCTTTTGTGTTTTAAGAGAGCTCGGAAAATCAATTTAGTCGACCAAAAAAGTTCCTCATTTTTTTTGAAAATCCACCCCCATGCCTCGAGAAACTCCTAGATCCACTCCAGTAAGAAAAGGAATTTTTTTCCCAGCAGGCCAGATCAACAAATTTCGAATGCAACTTTCGTATTTATGATAATGTGAGTTTGATTTTAGAACTAGTTGCGCTTCACAAGTAAAGAAGGGGATACTGCGACTGCATATGTCTCAAATGGAAAAAACGTCCCCTTTTTAGAAACTCCGGAGACGTTGAAAATAAATTGCAAAGCTTACGATATAAAGTCAATAAAAAATGGTCTGAAAATTTTCAAAGACCAAAAACTCAAGTTTGGAAGAAAAAGCACTTTTTTGAATTCACGACTATCTTGTTTCAAAAGGTTTGCATCACTCGATATCATCTGACGTTAATTTTCGGTAGCGAGTTTGCATAAAAAAGTGAATCAAAACTACCCTAAAACCAAGTTGATCCCCATTATGGGCTCTTTTTCCTTTTCCCCCACCTCATGCCAGTTTCAACTTATTAGTGTAACGAGTGGTTTTACGAGGTTGAGTATGAAGACCAAATATGTTTGTCGTGGCCTTATTAGTCTGTATGTAAATTTTCATAACAATCGGACAATGTCGTCAACAAACTTACATGTACAAAATTGCAGATGGGGGGGGGGAAAGGAAAAAGAGCCATTATGTAGTCGGCCCGAACAAATACCCGATTGTTACACAAAAAGCATTGATTGCTACTTTTTGTTGTAAAAGTATTTCAAGGAATAAGTTTTTTTCAATTTCTTCGTTTCCCGCGGGAAACGCGCTTTGATTTTGATATTTAGTGACTTGACTCTTGATTATTAATGAAAAAACAATTAGATAGAGAAAGAATCAGGAGCCATAACATAAGATGTCGATACAGGTTTAATTCAAGACTGTTTAGTTTCATTGAAGCACTAACAAAATTTTGACTTTTTTTAAACAAAAAAAATTAGACTTTTAAGCCAAGAAAACAAAAGTGACAACGCAAGTAAAACAAAGATGAAAAACTTTATGAGATAATAACATTTTTGATAAAAATAAATAAAAATATATAAAATAAAAAAAGTCTTTAATTTATTTTTATGAAAAGTTGTTAGTGAAATCAATATGACAAATACAGTCGATGGTCTTATTCCATATTTCCGTCCCTACCTCAAGGAGGAGGGACAAAAGTCTTTTAGTCTCTTAAGCAAGCAATCGGGTTTATAAGATCTCTAAATACATACTCGAAAGTAGAAAAAAATGAATCGCTTTAACTTTTGATTTTAGAAGATACGTACTTTGAAGTGAACGGGAATTCGATTCCCTACACCATCGGGGATCAACAGATCCATTCCGACTTCATACGACTAGGGGACGTGGCCTCAACTCCATTCGCAAAAGACCCTCCGAGCTCTTCCGAGAACCAATTGCGTAAATACATGTACATTTTGATTGCTCTACTTGTTTTTGTTGTCTTGATTGTCTCAGTTATTGTTGTGAATCGAGTTAAGTTAAACCAATGCCGATCAGATGCTACCAAAGCCGTTCAAGACTTTCTGAGGAGAGCTGAGTTATTTGTTCGTCCTGGTATGACCCAAAGCGAAGGACCTGGACAGAACAACGCAGGCCATAATTTACATCAACAAACTGGAACACAAGAGGAAAATGTATGAACATCGAAATGTGCAAGGATACCACAACTAAGCATTCGAAGCATCGATAAGATAAAAACTGGCACGCTGATCCAAGAGCCGAGACTAAACCATTAAACGAAAACATATCCAAAAAAAGACATCCAGAAAAAAAATCAAGGCATAGCTGAGAGATATTCTAATCGCTGATAGGCCATGAAACAGGTTGATGAGACGAGTTTAGCAAAAATACTGGTTGGTGACCATTTTATGTGAGTCAGACTTGATGTAAATACTATCCAAATATATTCTAAACTGGGCAATTACGCAAAATAAACTTTCATTCACCTTCTACTTTCGAAAGTTTTCAGATAATTATAAAAACTTAAGACCAGCGATTATCAATAGTCAAACGACCAAAAATTGTAAATAGAGAGAAGTATTAAAACAAAAAAATCTATTTTAAATATACCGGGTAAAAAATAAAAAACAGACAGTCTAGCTTTATTCCAACGGATAAATCAATAGAGGACAAAAACAACAAAACTTTGTCCCCATTATAGTTGGTTACTCTTTTCTGGGAAGATTAATAAAATCAGTGTACTTTCAGCTCTGTATATTTATCAAGACGCCCTCACCAATCAAAGGGTCCCTCTTTGGTATTCTGTTATAACATCCATTTTCGGCCGAACAACCCTAAAAACTGTCTAAAGACGCCTTCGGCACCATTATATACTAATTTCGAAGAAAAGTTCTTTTGATCGAAATTTTCCAAAAAGTACCCAAAGACAGCGTTTTTGTTTTTTCAAATTTACCTGCGTCAAAATAGGATCTTTATAGTGTCCTGGGAGCGATCGGAAAATCAATTTGGTCGACCTAAAAAATGGATTAAATCCACTCTGCAGAATTTTGAAAACTTCCTCCCCTCGAGAAATTCATAGATCCACTCCTGTCCAGGCGTACATGCAATAGCGAATCTAGGTTCTCTCAATGGCGGAGAACTTTTTTTCTAAATTTTTTGTGGCCTTTTTGGGTCGACCAATTTGATTTTTCGATTTCTCCCAAATCGCGATAAAGACTGGATCTACTTTGAATCTACATTACAATCTCCTATGGTATCTACTAAAGAATTTTAGGGTCAGTTGGCCGAAAATATATGTCGTGAAAGAGTATCAAAGGGGGGCCCTTTGAGTGATAACGGGGTCGAATTCCTGAGAAAAAAATGTCCGACTGACCCTAAGCGTTCAATGGCTCTTTCACGGATGACTTCAAAAAAAACTTTCTGTATTTTATAGATCAGCCAATTTAAATCATCATATACTCCTTAGAATGAAAAACTTGATTCGCGGACTTTAGTCATAAATATTGTGAACAAGTATTTTTGTGAAAATAATTGCAGGCGAGTTTGCACAACTGATTAAATCGTTTTGTGAAATATGGAAAAAGTAGCAGTAATAGCAGCAGTTTATTGTCAAGTCTTCATTTTCTTCAAGAAATCGAATAGGGAAATAGGTTACTACAATTATTTTGCGAGCCATAATAGTAACGAAAAACCATATTCTCTTAAACTTGTTTTAACTTTTAAAAAAGTCTTTTTTTTATCGAAACTACTGTTTTACGTTGGTGCAATCTTTAATAATGCCAAAAGAAGAAGGCTGACTACTAGAAAAATCAAAAAAAAACAAGGATTGACAATTGCTGTGCAAATAGCGCAGAATGTTCCGACTATATCAAATTTTTTTCATGAAGTTAGTGTCTTTTTTAGTGGGTGGTGAGAATCAAAAACAAAACAATTGCTTGTAAAATAAATGAACTAGGCATGATCGTGACTCGCTCAAAAAATTGAATCTCGAAAAATTCGAACCAGTTTTTCTCGAGACTGAGACAAGTTTTCGAAAACTTCTAGCGTTGTTCGATTTACGACTGAAAGTACTTTTATATGATATATCACCCATTCCGATATTACCCATTCCGATGATTATTTCTGGTACCTGATTTGCGTGAAAACAAAACTAAAACACTCACTCAATACAAAGCTCCTCCCCAATTTCAATGGAAGAAACAAAAACCATTATTTCAGAAAAATTTTGCGTTTCAAGACTCACGTTGACGGCGGTAGGACTTTTTAAAGATATTTCAATCTAAAAAGTTATTGGTGGATCAAAAAATTCCTCAAAATAGCACCATATGAAAATATTTTGGGTAATGACGATGCCGAATTTAAAAAACAAAGTTGGCTTCCCGCATGCCCCGAAAATTGTTACTATTCAAACTGGCTGTTATTTTTGCTTCGCAAAATTGTTTTTACAATTTCTTTCAAAAATCTCAGATCACAAAAATTAACCGGCAAGTCATTCTTTCAACGAAATTTTAATGAAAATTCGCGGATACAGGGGATTTACATTTGGTGCTATCTTTTCCATCTAATGATTTCGTCAAAATCTCAAAAAAATAAATTGCTTTTTTTTCTAGAGTTAGGTAATACCTCAGTTTCAGAAGTAGTTACCCAAACGTTAGACCAGTTTCATTTTTCATTTTCAATTTACTTTCCAATTTTGGGAGTTTTCACAATTTGACAATTTTGGCTGTTTTGACTATTTTACAACCATAAATAATGGTTGATGCTGAAAAACACGTATCCGAAACTTCATTTTTTCTTGCATCTTTTAAAGTTTGACGAAATTTTTTTTTTGATTTTTTAGTGTTTTCAATCTTTCAATCTGTATAAAATGAGCTTTAGTGTGTATAAAAAGGTCTAAACAACCTGTATAAAGTTAGTAGATAAAATGCACTAAAACGTGCGACAATTTAGTTTTACGAAGTATTGAATCTATTAATTGAAGTACTATGCACAATCGTATAAGATCCATTGCATAGTTAGTAATTCATGTTGAGTAGAAATTACGTGGGACTGAAGAATTCCAATGTAACAACATTGAGAATAAAGTTCCCACTATACAAATTATTATACCAATAAAGTCATATTTCAAACAGATTGAAACAATTTAAAAAATTAAATAATTTTTTGAAACATTAATTAACAAAATTTTTTTTTATATCAGATACAAAAAAATTGAACGAAAAGCATAAACAGCTGCAAAATGGTCAAATTGTAAGTTTTTTTATCATCAAAAAATCAATAAAATTGAAAAATCTGACTAGTTGACGTTTGGGCTGCATTGCCTAAAAACGTTCCCATGTGATATCCAGACGCAATCATTTCCGAAATAATTCTGAGAAACTATCAGCTTAACTGTTTTATTTTGGGTACAAGGCAACAACTATACAACGAAAACTTGTGTTTGTTTCGGGAAATCATTTGCATGGAACAACAAATCTTGAAATAGCCACATCGAGAAACTTAACTCAGAACACAACGTTTGGCCCTGACTCGAGCAATTTTGTTGTTCTTATTGTCGTTCTCAGTCAGTTTGGTTGTCTGGTCTCATTATAAAATTTTAACTAAAACACAAAACTTGTAGAACGAGTAGTCGATCATTCTATCAAGCGTATAAAAAATAAAATATAAATAGGGCTTAGTGACTTGCTAGCAAGTAATTTAGCATGCGCAATCAAAGTAATTACACAATTTGACGCTGCACACATCATTTTGAGTTTTATTTGCAAATAAGAGAAAATAAGCTCAATTCTAGTAGCGCTATTGGCGGCATGCTAAGAGGTACATATGCAGGTAGGCCGGACTTTATGAGAAACATGCTGTAACCAAAAAGACCATTAAAAAGTTTTGGCGTTTATTAACTCAAACGAAAAATTAAGAAAAACGAAAAGCCTTAGCCGAAATGTTCACGGAGGTGAGCAGATAAGTGAAAAGATATATAAAACAACAGTAAATGACTTATTACGATACCAAAAATTAATAACATGTTTTAAGACCAATTAAATTTCCTCCTTCATCCCCCTAAAACGTTTCAAGGGGGAAGATTGTCACTTGGTTTTAAGATAATGGAGCCAATCAAAATTCTTGTGCATACCGAGCGCACAGCTGCTGTTTGGTTTCTTGACTGTTTTTTTACCATTATGAAGCTCATTTTAGAGTTGGAGAGTCCACTCGCTCCTTCAGGGTATTTGTGCTGAATGAAGTGTACATAGGCAAACATCCCGAAAACGATTTCACTCTCGGCTGCATATTCCAACCGGACTTCGAGATTACTAGAGAAATTTTGAATGAGACGTTTTGCTGCACACAACTACCACAAGAGTGGGGTTCAAACGGTAAAAAAAATGATACTACGATAGGTTTAAATAAGCAATCATGAGCGGTCAAAGCTTGCTGGAATATTTTAAAATCCCGCAAGTTATTTTTAAAATGGAGTTTTTTAAATAATTTTAATGAAATCAAATTGAAATGCACGCTTTGCTACTTTTCTGTAATGAAAATAAGGTCGGATTTCAGGGTAGTTGGTTTAAAATGAACGCCGTACTCTCAAGGCTTCGACACTCTCAACATCCAAAAAGTAGTCCATTTAATACTATTTCACGACTTCGTTCTGTTCGACCCTGAAATTATTCTTAGGGCGTCTTTGGCGCCAATATGTACTAATTTTGAGGTACAATTTGCCCCTAAAAACGCGGTTAAAAAGTCCCAAAAAGGGCACAAAAAATGGCGTTTTGGACTTTTTTAAACAAAAATGCAAAGAAAAATGTCAAAATAAGGTATCTTTTGTGTTTTAAGAGAGCTCGGAAAATCAATTTAGTCGACCAAAAAAGTTCCTCATTTTTTTTTTTTGAAAATCCGCCCCCACGCATCGATAAATTCCTAGATCCACTCCAGTAAGAAAAAGAAGTTTTTTTCTAAGCAGGCGAGATCAAAAAATTTCGAAAGAAACTTTCGTATTTATGATAATGTGGGTTTGATTTTAGAGCTAGTTGCGCTTTACAAGTAAAGTAGGGGATACTGCGACTGCACATGTTTCAAATGGAAAAAACGTCCCCTTTTTAGAAAATCCGGAGACGTTGAAAATAAATTGCAAAGCTTACGATATAAAGCCAATAAAAAATGGTCTCAAAATTTTCAAAGATCAAAAACTCAAGTTTGGAAGAAAAAGCACTTTTTTGAATTCACGACTATCTTGTTTCAAAAGGTATGCATCACTCGACCAAATTTTGCATAAAAAAACAAGTGAATCAAAACTACCCGAAAACAAAGTTGATCCCCATTATGTAGTCGGCCCGAACAAATACCCGATTGTTACACAAAAAGCATTGATTGCTACTTTTTGTTGTAAAAGTATTTCAAGGAATAAGTTTTTTTTTCAATTTCT